ATGAGAGTCTTTTGACATCCCAAAACAATGTCAGTTGTACATAAGTAACATTGCCTCAAACTAAGGTATATTTTGCTTAAATGAAAAAATAAAAGGGGTATCATTTTGATTGCACTGTGTCTACTGAAACCATTCAATGTTTAGAAAACCCAAGGGAAACAAGCATTTAATTAGTCAAGTTATCTCTTAAATTAAATTTGGTTTTCCATAATTCATAATGCCGTCCCAGAGTCACCACTTGCTCATTCAAGTTGCAAACTCGGAACCCAACAGAGACTGATTTCAATACGTCAGTTATTGAGACCTCACAAGGGTCAAGTCTCACAGCAGATCCGTGGGGATATTAAGTCATTTTCATAATATATTCACAGAGACTACTGCTAAGCACAATTATAAAACAAAACTTAGATTATAATTTGCAAATGTAAACATGGTTTTAGTTTTCTGAATTTAAAAATTTTATGAACAACAGCATATTCTTTTCTTGAAACTACCAACGTCAATGAAGAATTGTGCTATGAAAGTAAGGAAAAATGAAATAAAGACAGCTTAGATGAGTGTTTGTTACACTAGAGAAATTAATTTGTTACCTTAGTACAACAACAACAACAAAGCCCACAGTTTCCTTTCTAAAGTTTCCCTTGACTCTATGATCCGAAAGTAGTCTGACAAGCTGAGGTTTCTTAAGAGAAGGGTTGCCACATGACCAATCAATTTAAGCAGTGAAAAGAAATCTATTCATCCTCAGTAATAGTTCACTAGCCATAAAAAAAAAAAGTGCTTGGCTTTAACATTTATAATCTGAGGAAGTTTGGTAGGCCTCAAAATCCTTAAGGAATAATTCCTACTTCGAAACCACAAATAAAACTTCTATTCAAGAATAGTGTAATAAAGTGTGCCATGAGGACATAGGTAGAAATATTTTATTGTATTTTATTGTTTTCTTTGGGATTTGGAAGATTCTAGAGAAAGGTGAGTTTCTGTAAAGTGCCTTGGACCCGTCAACTCCCATTAGATGTCTGGGTAAATATAGTAATACTCAGAGAAATAAACAGGACACCACAAAACAAACATCTTCAATCAGATGCTTATTCATGGTACCATCGGTGAAATTCCTCTCAAATGAGCCTGAGTAAGCAGCTGCAAACTCAGACGGGAAATGGAGCATCGCACACTTGCGAGCTACCTTGCAGGACAGACTTATCTGAGTTTTACATATGCTGTTCATTGGGTTCAGTCCCTAGTGGCCACCCTCTTCAAACTTCAACACAGTCTGCTGCAGTTAACTAGCTCCAGATTGCCCTGAACAGAACTCTCCTCCACTCTTAGGTGGATCATAAAAAAACGCAAGACCTCAGAACGAGAGGCACAAAGGGGAGGAAAGAGTCTCCCTGTCGAAGGCAGGGAGCCGGCGCTGTCCCTTTTAACCTCCACTCTCTCATCCCGTGCTTTCCCGCTCCTTACACCTCCCATCTGTCAACAAGGGCTTGTAATTTTATTACACTGTCCTGTAGTTTACACAGAGTCGGGATTATTTTACAGAGTTCTGTTAATGGACTGGATAAATGGTAATGCTATTTAAACTAGTCTCCTGCCCCAGCCAACGCAGCTGTGAGTGTACTACTATTTCTGAGCAAACATCTTGACCTGAACACGCAGTGCTCTCTCAGCCCTTCCTAAGAGAAATTGGAGCAGACAGTAAAGGGAAAGCGTGTTTGGCCGCTAGCAGCAATCAGCCGTGTCAAATCATAATTCATATACAGTGTACCCCCTTTTGCTTTCATATCACATTTACAATCTGCAAAAATGCATATGTGACCGGCATCTCATTTTCAGCCAAAAGTCAAATGATGACTATTCATTACAAAAATCTAACAGAAATCTATATAATGTCCAATGTATCAAGATAGTTTTCATATAAGCTAACAATGCTGAAAACAAATACCAGCTTATAAACTATATTTTAAACTGGTTATCTTTCTTGACTAGGAATATATAGTGAAAATACATTAAATAAAATATGTGATAAGTAAAAATAAAGTCGTATTAATTAGCATAATTTATGAAGAAAAAATAAATTCTACAAAAGCTTTTTGCTGGTACGGTGTATATGCATGGCTCTACTACGTCATTCAGCCAGGCAACAATGGATGTTTTTAAAGATATACATCAAGCAACAAGACAAATATTTTCTTTATGCTAATATTCCTTTCCTGTTGTTTTTCAGAATTCTTATGTCCCTTCCTTACTCACTCTTCAAGTACAATGACTCATTTTGAAGGAGCATTCAGAAGGTACTTTTGAATGTGGATTTGAACTCATTTTTCCATCTACTACCATATGTATTTCAGGACAGCAACTAGACACCTGTATCATGTGATGTGAAAAACCAATGAACCTACATCCTTGGCCTCCGTAGATATACAAGTCCAAGGGTCGGAGTCAGATCATTCTTTCTGCTTCCCAAAGACCCTTAATGTTGACTGTTTCGCTTCACTGGTAGTATCATTTAAAAAGTTTAGCTCATAACTTTTCCTCTCAAGAGGAATCCTACAATTAACAGTTCACCAACATCTATCCAATTCTTGTGAAGCATCGGATCCTAGGCTCAAAGCAAAAATATTGCTGATGTGAATGTACAGGCAATACTCATACCCCTACGACTATAGATCAACATTTAGGAGACTGAAGCAAGAAAACTGCTGTGAATCACAGCTAGCATATGCTGTATAATGTGTTCTAGGGTGTCATGGCTTACAGGATGGAAGAAAAAGGAGAGAGAATAGGGAGTCGGGAAGGAAAGACGGGAGGAAGGGAGGAAGGGAAAGGAGACAAAAGTAAACCTCCATACTTCTAATTAAAGAAAATGTCAGTCGTCACATAGAGATACTCTGTCATTACTAGCCATGATGCTATGCTAAATTTAGGAATACTACAATATTTATATATGTATTATAACTATAGGTACAAGTGATAAACATATTTAGCTTCTATATTCTCAAGGGAAAATGATTTGTGCCAGACAGGCACATAAATATCCCAAGAACGTTTTCTAGCTGCCCTGTCCCCTTTCTGAACATGCCTTCAATTAATCAGAAAACTCTGTCACAGTCTGGTGGGGTCTATTCCTCTTTGGGCCACTTCTCAGAGGTTTCATATGTTCCATCATAATGAAGTTTCTGAAAAGTATAAAATCTTAAAATTTAAGGAGAAATTTCTTTGTTCCACTATGTGATATTGTCAAAGAGGTCTAAATGCCAAATGGTATAATTTGCTGCTGGGGACTTCGACAGTGCATTAGGTCATGAAACAGCTCCTTGGGGAATCACTCCAAGCACTTCTCAAGAGAAAATGTGAGGCTACTTCTTATGCTTTTCATAGTACAACTGGTAAAAGACCACGGCCATTCCATTTAAGTTCATTTCTGCAGTACATAAGGAAAAAAAAAAAAAAACAACCAAAAGTGCACTCCAAAGACACTGTGTGCTGTTTTTGTATGCACACTGCTGACAAAGTCACAGCCCTGCAGGGTCACTGGATGTAAGTTTCAAAATTCTTACAAGTTTCTTTATTACCCGCAACAATTAAAACATAAAGAATGATACTATTTAAAAACAAACCTGGCCATTATGCCACTAAGTGCAACTATTTAAATATGTTTCAATTGATACATATGTATGTATGTGTGCATAATTTTATGGAAGGCTACATCCTACTTATCCTACTTCTTGGAATAAGTAGCCCTTCGAGATCATTTGTTAAGAGAAGTTTCTTTGATTTTTTAAAATGTCACTGAAATAGTGCCAGTTAAACAGCAGAGCTCACAAACAGGAGAAATACAGACTGTGGTTTTGATTCTCCTAAGGGAAGTGATGTCAGGAAAGAGAAGGTGTGTGTGTTTGGGGGGGGTGCGGGATCGACTGGGAAAGATCTTTGTGTTGTGAAATGAAGTATCAGGAACACTGACCTCACAGACATCCTGTTTTCAGTGGGACAGAGTATGAGAGGACCCCCCACCCCCCACCCCACCCCCCAACACACACGCACACACGTGCACTGCTGGAATTGATAACAACAATATTGAACCTGTAGGCTACAAAGCTTTGGCTACAAAATCGAATTCGGAAAACAGCAACATGTTCACTTTCCCTGCAAACGCTTCCATATGGGACTTCCCCAGCACCCAGGTGGGGCCACTCCAGACAAACTTACTTACTCTACATAGCCCAGCCGTCATTTCATGGCATACATGAGCATCGATAACCATTGGTATTTATCTTTTCCAACATTTGGAGCATATCGGCCATCTGTGCAAAAGCATGCACACAGCTGAACAGTCTAATTTTCAAGGCTTTCGTGAACGTGTTTTCACTCTTACGCATTAGGTCAGTGATCAAGCATCCCTGGGAGGAAAAACTGATCCCACCTAATACTCACAATGTGCTTTTTTAAAAGAACAACTTCCCCAACAGCCTATGAGATAATCTGATATGAAAGCCTTGCCTTCCAGCAGTTCACATTGCAGAATTCCTAATTCTGGCTAAAGAAACTCTTATGAGAGAATTTACATCTTTAAATGCTTTAGGATAGATAATAGGCACAAACTAATAAATGTGGTTCCTCAAGTACCAAAACATTACCAAAAAAAAAGCTAATAAAAAGAACCCAACTTTACAGAAAACACTGTCTAAATGAAAGACCAGTAGTAAAATTCCTCTTAAAAATCCAGTTTCTATTGAGCACGAGGCAAACCCCTCTATCACCACATAATCAAAACCAAAAACTGCAATAACAAACAATTAAGCCACAAAATGCTACATAAACAAAGCCACTGGAACCACCAGAGATCTTCCATTTCCTTCAAAAAGCAAACGGGCAAACTTTCAATCTAGGAATCTATTAACACATGGATTCCAGGAAAGCGCAAGAAAACACCCACAAATCTATTAATAAAACGCAAGGTCAACCAAAAGCAACAGGGAACACTTGTGTCTACTTACAGCCTGTAGAGCTTCGCAGTCCCAAGGAACAGCAGCTCAGGAAACAACTGAAGGTTATTTCTGTTTAAACGCCTTTGGAGAAAACAAAGAAAAACAGAGCTTATGTTACACGGAAAATACGTAACGACGAGGCTGTGCTTTGGTAGCATCGTGCCTCATCCTGCATTTCTAGAAACAATGGAATGACATTCCAGAGAATCCATGCGTGGCAAACCCAAAGTTGGTTACACCTTTTGTTGCATGGCACTTTACCACAATTTCCCTTGTGCTTAATCAGATGGTTACTGAGACCTAAATTCTCAACTCACACTCCCTGCAACATCAGGCACACATGACTAAATGGGACTTCCTAACCCAGACACAACTTCAATAGAGGATATGCATATTAATACAGTAAGCTATGTTAAAAGAATTCAGATTCTCAGAAGGTCAAGATTTTCAACCAAGGCACAGTAGACAGAAATTTCAATTTTATTACTATTTATTTAACTGGGGGTAGAGCATGAGACAGTGTCTATAAGACTTTCTAATCATAGGTGAAGTCAGAATTTTAAAAAAAAGAAAAAGCTGATTTACTTTCTGTGTGAGTGTGCTAAACAATTGCACCACTGAAGCAAAGCTAGGGACTGGAGAGATGGCTCAGAGGTTAAGACCGCTGACTATTCATTTCAGAGGTCCTGAGTTCAATTCCCAGCAACCGCAATGTGGCTCATAACTATTTGGAATGAGATCTGGAGCCTTCTTCTACAGAATACTGTATATATAATAGATCTTTAAAGAAAAAACAAAGCTCTAAACCTCAATCCACAGGTCTTTACCAATCACTGAATCGGTTTACTTTCTGTGTGAATAAGTAACATTTCAAAGCTGATTTACTTTCTGTGTGAGTGAGCTAAACGATTGCATTGCTTTTATTTTGGGGGGTGTTTGAGATGCTTTGAGGAGGAATCTAATTGCAAGATTGTTTTAGATGTTTCAGATGCCTCTAATAGGAATCTAATTACAACTCTATCCAGACCCAGTCTACTATTAAGCTCGATAGGACTGTGCAAACCTACTAGAAAGCAAAAGCCATCATTGATATCCTAACAACCCAACCCTACCAGTTGTATGTAAATACTTTAATCAACTGAATAGCAACTGCCAACTATTCTGCTTCTCCCAAATCTAAATATGCTGATGGGTAGCTAGTGGAAGCTATCTATAAATGACATACAATGTGGCTGGCATCCAAGACAATGACACCCTGATAAATGCAGAAACTATTCTTTAGAATAGATGCTAAAGATGTCCTGACTTATTTTTTAAAGGTTTATTAGGTGTAATTAAGACGCTGCTTACTTAATCTCCACCAGGCAGCAATGAGACCAGTGATCGTATTTTCTATGAAAGTGGATATGACCCTAACCGTAATCAGGTCATAAGGGATCTTTTGTCAAAGTCACCCTAAAGCAAGAAGACCAGCATTAAGAAACTCTCCATTTGCAATTCGATGGTTCCAAGAAGAAGCGTTATGTATTTTTCTTTGCCTGGCAGGAGAGCAGAAGGATGAGGGTGGCCAGTGCTGTGGTCTCTGAGCGTGCTCAGAAGCTGCTCATCGACAGAACCATGCTCAGCACGTCATAAAATATGGACCAATCACAATGTGCTCCAAGGTACATAGAACGCAAAGAGGAGAACTAGTGGTGAAAGGGTGGATTTACCACCATCCGTGCACTGATTTTTATGAATGAGAACCACATCATAAAGTGAAACAGAAACTTTTTATTCTATTTTTTTTCCTTGGGCATGATGCTGAGGGGGTACTACTTTCAGTATCCACCATTTTTCCACTGTAAACAAATTAGCTTCATTGTGACTTTGTGATGATAACATCTAAGAAAGAGAGAAAAACAAAAGAAAACTCATTCACAAGCATCAAAAATTCATCTACATTTGGAAAGACTGACGACAATCTTTCCAGGAGTTCTTTGGGAGATGTATGCAGAGAATGCCTATCCCGATTTCTAAAATGACAGACATGGAGTGGTTTCTTAATCATATCCCAAGCACTTGGCTTAACAGTTCTCAGCTGATTCTTCAGCCCAAATAGGCATGCTACTTCAAGGCTCAAAACGAGACCCTGAGAGAGGCAGCTTTTCATAGAGAGCTTGCCCTTCCCACCAAACAGTGCTTTCTAACATCCTTTGTGAAACCCCAGCTATCCTCTGTAAACTCTGTGCCTCCCTTGGCTGTGTCCCCAGAGCGTTTGATAAGACCCCTTTGCACTGTATTATATTGACTCGTGTGCTAGTCTCTTTCCCACTGGGCTGCGAGCTTCTCAAATGTGAAGACCCGCTCTTTGTTCTCCTTCTTCTTCCTCTGGCACTTACTAGGTTAGAACTGCATTAAAAAAATACAAAGCAATCTCCTGCTCTCATTCAGCACCCCCCAATCTTCCCTGGCATTTGATAGGTTCGTATTGTGTTGAATGAGAACTAACTGCTCTCTTTGCATTTTGATACAGTTCAGCGAGAACCCAGTATATTCACTTGACATTGGGACCACTTTACTTTGGCATGCTCCCTGAGCCACCAGCCAGCATCCAGCTATCTGAATCCCTCTCGTCCAACATGCTTGTACCTACCCTCAATATGCCCTTCCTTCTTCACCCACCACACTTTGTGAGCATCAGCTAAGAGCAAAAGGAATGTAGTGCATGTAAATAAACCTTAGTGCAAAAGTGACGGACAGCTTTTTCTAAACTTCTTAATACATTGGTCATACATTAGCAAAACGTCATAGATTATGAGAACGTAGATACTGAAGTCCTGGTACTGGTAGTGTCTTTCTCTTTATGGTTGTAACCATTTTCACATTCTCAGCATTTCTTAACTGACACCACAAACCCTACCTGATGTGTTTTAGACTATGTGGATCCCTTCATTCTTGTCCCAACATCCTCACAATGATTAACACTCCACGTGCTTTGGCAAGAAATCTACAGCTCACAAGGAGAGCTTGCATGTGACTTCCGGTGCTGTGATCCCACACATCAGGCATCACCATGAATGTTTGTTCCTCAGCAATGTTTCAAAATGATGTAATGCTGAAAGTTTCCTTGAGAAAACCAGTGCTATGTAGTCCATTTCTGAAACACCTTTGAGCTAATCAGATGAAAATATGACACTCAAATTAATATTTAAAGGACATTATCTATGGGCGGTTGGTAAGATGGCTCAGTGGATGAGGTGCCTGCCACTCAAAATCATAAGCCTGACAATGTGAGTTTGATTCCTGGAACAAGTATGAAAGTAGAAAGAGGGACTGGAGAGATGGTCCAGTGGTTATGAGCACTGGTCTTTCAAAAGACCCAGATTCAATTCTCAAAACACATGGCAGCTCACAACTGTCTGCAACTCCAGGTCTAGGGGATCCACATCCTCACGTGGACATACATGCAGGCAAAAGAACCAACACATATAAAATAAACATAAATAAATCATTTTCTAAAGAAAAAATGTAGAAGGAAAGAAACGACACCACAAAGTTCTGTGACTTCCACATATACACCTTAGCATGCAGACCTCCTTGTGTAATCTGGCACACACATGAGCGCACACATGTACACACACATGTGCAGGCAAGTGCACACACATATGCACTAATAATAATATTTAGTATTTTTACGAATTTAATTATTTCTTTATGACACTGAATTGTCTAAACTAATCATGATGCATTTCATTTTGAGCATGAGGCAGGGAAATATCACAAAAATAGCAAGCATACTAAAGGAAGAGGGATATATTTGGCTCTACTTCTCTTCCATCATGGACATGGACATGTATGCAAAATAAGGTTAAATGGATGGAAACTTTTTCAATAAAAAGTCACCAGAGTCCTTCAAATTCAACAAAATATTTAAAAGTGAAGATTCTTATGAATATCAGAAATTAAATCCCTAAAGGGCATATTTTTAAATCTACAGTTACTTTAGAGACTATTAAGATACAAAACAATCACCAAACAGGGCTGGAGAAACAGCAATCCTGTTTCAAATACCACAAGAAAAACATCATAGTGACTTAAGGAGGGGAGTGTCACGTTGTGAACTCGAATGCAAATGAGCTGACATTTAACATGATGGTCCCAGGACAGGACAACAGTGAAGGGGTGTTGCATAGGATTATTGATGAGAGACCACACAAGGTACTCTGGAAAAAGACGCAGTCGTGCCCAAGGACAGATGACAGAGCGTAGTCACACCAGTTCTGTGTCATCACCCTGGGATACAGTCTGCCCACAGGATCCGACAGCCATTTGAGGATTCTCTGGATGGTGACTCATGCTTTCAGGAAGATATGTGTGGTGTGTTTCCCTGAGATAGCTTTTCTAAAACCCAAGATAATTAAAGATCCTAGGTCTACACTGCCTGCTGCTTCTGAGTATGACTTTCAGATGGATAAATGATCTCAGAGCTATCAAAACACCGCAGGTCTCTGACTACCTGGATCAGGTGCATTTTCTTAAATTATTATCTTCCATCTGCTCTGGTGATTTATCCTTTCATGGACACTATACTTACTTTTCTTAACCTTCATATTAGTTCAATTAATACTTTACCTCAAAATAACCTTCCATCTAATTCAAAATGCAAACTTAAAAGAGTTTACCAAAGCCAATGAAAAAAAAAAAAACCTGTGTGCTTCATATCCACAAATCAATGCACATATATTTCAGTATCATGCCTTATTCAGTAAAGGTTGCCCTAAAACGTCCCATTGCTCTCCTCCTCTTCATGCATAAATGGTCAATCCTATGGCTAAAAACTCTCATTTTTGACTTTTCAGATGAAATTTCTACTTGCTCATTTAAAGTATTGTTTCCTGACATTTGTAAAGCGAATGATTTTATCTTACATAATACCAAAGTTTACATTTTGGGCAGTTGTATCATCTAGCTTGCTTTACATGGCTGAAGGCTTTTTCTTTCTTTTTCTTTCCAGCAGCATTCTCAATGATCATCTCATCCTCTGTGCCCCATGGTAAGGAAGCCAGATCTTGTTAATAAAAACACTGTTTCCTGCAGAC